TTTAGTGTTTTCTCTCTCTCTCTCTCTCTCTCTCTCTCTCTCTCTCTCTCTCTCTCTCTCTCTCACTCTTTCTCTCTCATACACTCATGCTAACGCGACATTCGTAGTAATTAATTTAATTTAATAGCGTCTTACTACGATGTGGCAAAAAAAATGACGAATACTTTCGTTAGTAAAATGTAATTATTATAATTCCATCTGATATCGACATTATGGAATATGCATAGAATATAATAGTTTCATTGGAAATTTTTAGCTATTCTGAATATATTATCTGGAAGAAGAAAAATGTATTAAACTTCAGTTCATGAAATACAATACTCAAGTATTTGTGCTACAGACCCGCTGTTAAAATATTAAAACCATATTGCATAATTCATGTTGTTTAAGGCATGGCGCATCAATAAATACTTTATTAATTATCAAATTGATGCCATAAATATATTGTCATTATCTGTTCCATTTATAGAATAGCTTGACAAATAACTGTAGTAGCTTCTAAGAATATTAGTGAAATGTTCAAGATACTTAGTATTTTTTCTTTTCATTTCCTTTTATCATTCATTAATTCATAATGCATTTCAAGCAATTATGATTGTTAATTAACAAATTTTAGGTTCGAATCGTCTTATTCGTATTTATTATTTAAACGAATTCAGATATGTGTATATGCGTATGTATGTGTCGTTCAATAATATTTTATGTAGTTTGTTTATTACTTGACTTATCCTATTTATAAGTGTTGCGCTTTTATGAAAAAACTGCAAGTTCTTCGAGCATTAATTAATTATAGAGATTGAAAATTGTTAGGGCGAATAAGTTATTTGATACGAAAGTAAAAAAATAATAGAGAAAATGGTAAAGTTTCGTCGAGTAAGTACAATATGTAGAATATTAATGTTTCGAATAGGTCAAGGAGAGAAGGAATAAAGGACGATTATGAGAGAGTCTGTACGGAAACTGCGTAAACTGCATTAATAAGGGCATTAGCTGCACAAATTTACTATGCATTCTCAACCTTGATTAAACCGAATATTAAGCGAATGACTGACAAAACTGTATAAGCTCCTGTTATTTTCTGCTGCTCCCTCACTATATAAGGCACATTGTTGGGAGAAGGTAAAGCGACGTCAATAAAAGATCACGTCAAGCAAAGTATCCAGAGCTTCGTAAAGTTTCAAGGGCAAGGTTCGAAAAGTTCGCGGAATAAAGTTTCAACCCGTGGAGAAGTCGTGTAAATATAAAACAGCTTAGCGTGAAAGCACGAAGCTGGCTGACTAGCTATGCCTCGAGTCTTTCTTTGTCGCTCTTCTCATCGCTAATTATTATTGCACGGGCAGCCGGTTTTTGTAAGCGAGCGCGCCGCCTTGGGTGGCAGCTAGCGGCATTTTTGCAACCACAAAGGACTCCAGCACGGCTCAATGAGATAAATATACCGGCAACTTTACCTACGAACTTCCCTAATCAGTTAAGATTTATGAGCGCGATTCGTCGACTATCCCTTACGCCCTCGCTGTTGCCCAAAGCGGGACTGATCGTTTGCTGCCAAGGTTCTTTCACGGTGTCGAAAGTCAGCTTCTTCCCTTAAATATCCAGCTAACGACTTCCTTACAATGTGCGGATGAAAAAGTATCCACTGTATTAGCTTCTTTTTTCAACTCCACCCCCCCCCCACCTTCGGGATGGCTTATAAAGACGAGGGAATAATGGCGTATTCGGATATAATATCTTCAATAACCTGACGTTAATTTGTTTGCGAAAGCTTCGTTCTTTACAAATTCTTTATTACGTGGGAACGGAGCTGACGAGCTTGTTAACGGCATTACATTTAAGTAAAAAAAAAAGCAGGCGTTGCCCGATCAAATGGCTCTTTCAATGCTTTCGAAGACCATGAAATCGGAGCCATTCAATGAAAAGATTTAACTAGTGTAAATTCTGTCCGTTGGGAGGACAAAAAAATTTTTTAATGAAAAACTCGACTATATCAAGCGTAATTGTATTGGCATTGTGAAAGTGTGTTGGCTCGACCAAAATATTTAATTTAGTTAACGAGACAATCAGTATTAATATTATTTTAGCGGGTGTATATTTAGACGGCTATTCAGATTACGCTGACTTCAAATCTGATTTAATTATAAATAATTAAAAATAATGTATTATAATAAATTCCTTCTAAACGACTGTATAAATAATAAACTATATTTTTGAATTCGTGAGGAAATGTTGGATAAGCTCGATGATTTAAATTTAGACACGGACTTGGCATATCGCTGCTTAAAAATAACCACGACTTTTTACGATTTAGACGGACTGTACCGATAGGCGTGTGATTCGTAATAGAATTGATGCGATTCGTATTAGTTCTCCTGTTTGTAGAAATTTTTTCGTTTCGAGCCAAGTGCACATTAAATAGAATTGCTTGGATATTTCGGCACCAATTACCAAATACTCGTCTTCAAAGCATCTATAAATTTTATCTTTCGCTCATTAGCCAATGTCGTGTCTTCCCATTTTCTTGCGATACTATCACGTTTGCCGGTCACGTAATGCGCACGCACGTGCACACGCAAACGAGCGCGTGCGCGCGCGCATAAAAGCTCCATAGAACACCAGCAATAGAATACCGCTTGAATAATAATATGCGTACGTTGCGACAACAATTATTTGAGTGACAGATTTTCGTAAAAGTTGATTTTATACGTTCGCGATCGCATTCCCACGGAATTATGTCGCGGATCCGTGTTTTGCAATAACGAGATATAGGACTTAAGCATTGTCGAAGCGCACGACGGGTGATTGGAAAATGTAGTGGGAGGGGCCGACGCGCGGAACTCGATTTTTACCAATGACGCTATTAGGTCGACGACGCCTTAGCCTCAGCGAAACCCCATGCGAAGACGAAGTCGGTAAAAGAACTATCGCTGAACTATCGCTCGAATTGTTCTATTTTAATAGACGCGCCGTCGCGAAATGAGCGATTGATTGCTTTTAGTTGGCCGTGTGCCGCTTCCGTTCTTCCATTGTTATTACCAATGATGTTTATATTAGTTTTGCTAATGGATATTGCACGTCGCATGAGACCCACATATTTTCAAATGTTAACGAAGAAGGCGATTTTCCAATATTTCGTCGAGATTTATTATTTTTCAAAAGAATTTTGCATCACTGATATCGATCGCAATCCTTTGACATTTACGGTGAAACTTATTAGATAGGAGGAGGCACCAGCGCGTTTTACGGGGGCGACGTTCTCGTGGAAAAAAAAGAAATAAAGAAACAGAAAGAAAAAGAGGAAAAAAAGAGGATAAAAAGAATGAAGGAAAAAAGAAAAAAGACGAAGAAAAATAACAACGGAGATAATTTATTACCTCGGTCTATCATTGTTATACCCGCACAATATAATCATTATAATAATTCATGTCTGTGCGACTCGTTCGTGGTTTTACAAACGAAATTTCTCGGTTATTTTACTCGTTTTTCGTTGGTCAAAGCCATTTCGTCGGTCAACCAAACGGACCGTGACTCTTATAAATAATTATGTTATTAATAAAGTTTCGTCATCCTGCGGAAATAAAAATCGGGCCCTGAATCATCGAGGTTAGCGCTCGATGCGATCAACGAAGCGTGATTCTCACTTACATTCGTTTGCGATCGCGCGCCCGGGAAAGGCAAATAAATCCCCAGTGGCTCGCTTTTCTCCGGGCGTATGGCCTCCGCTTATACACGTTGTGGCGGAAAAATGTTTGAAAATGGACTCGCCGACAAGCAACGAGAAAAGAAAAAAAATTAGCATAACTCCGAAGATACAATTAGCGACACGTTGACCGAGGCGCAATAAAGAGTGTTCTTTCGTCTATCGCGAAACGTCTTGGGCTATATTATTATGAACAATGCGACGATGCCGATAATCGCCATTATTTCTTCACGGCGAATCAATAATCCAAATACTTTAGAATAAAAGGCCGAGTATTGCGCAAGAGACGGCTCGTAAGTTCTATAGGCATCGATACATTCTTTAATAATTGCGAGAACGTAAGGTCGGCATTACATGAGTATGACCACTAAATCCCCGTGGTGGGCAGCGAATCACATCGAAGTAAGTTGCAATGAAATTGAAGGGAGGGGATGGGTCTCTCCCTCCGTCAGTTATGAAAATGCACATACGAACGAAGTGTAAAAGACCGCCGGCCTCATTAACCGGAGCAATCGTGTATCGAAGGTCGATTCGCGGGCGGTGCTCTCGTGCGAGGCTCTAGCGATCGGTCGTCGCAGGCGGTTGGCTAGGAAGATTGACGGGTCGTTGTTGCTAGCACGTACTGGCAACGATTCAAGCGTCGCGGTGACAAAGCGACTCGCTCGTAATGTCGCCCTCTCACTCGCGAGCGCAGCCTTTGGCCAAGCGTTATCCAGCGACTGCGACAGCGGCGGCGGCGGCGGCGGTGGCGGCACCAGCAGCAGCAGCTCTGCCTTCTGCAACGAATGGTGGGGGAAAGGGGGTGGTTGCGTTGATAGCGGAAGGGGGTTGAGGGCGAGGGGAGTCGAGGGCAGCCTCCTAGTATCGGACGTCCAATTATCCGTAAAATCATGCGGCCTTAAACTCTCGATTCTGCACGCACAGACCAACGTTGTACGATCCACATTGCCATACGAGGATCACTCCCGGCTTTGATTTGAAAAAGTGCGAGCGCTTACTTGATAATTGTTGTTTGAGCTTCGTTTGCCGTTCCTGGGCCGCTAAGGATTCGTTGCAGTTTCGATCGAAAGTTTTTTCATAATAAATTGATATGGTCCTTTGTCATGGGAATCGAGATGGCAAAGGCCCTCGAAAGGATGGATAATCGACTTATCGCTCCCTCTTTCGAGTGCGCGAAGTCGCGAGTTGCATTGGAAGCGGCAGTCCTAGGGAAATGATCAATGAATGATTTGTCTGAGGCCCGCGGTTAATTAGTCAATTAGTTGGAAAACACGTAGAAGGACACTCTCACATTTTCATAAGGGAGAAGTTCAAGAGGACGGCTGCAGTCGAGGATCGAAAAGATGACAAGGAGAGAGGGAGAATGATAGTAAGTACGTGCGCGTACATGATATATACATACTCTCATACGCTCATACATATATATATATATATATATATATATATATATATGGCAGGAGCGAGAAAGGGAGAATGAGGGGTAAGGAATTTTAAGAAGAGAGTATTTTAATTATCGCAAATTGGATCACTCGAGTGTATCGGCTTCGGACCGCGCTGCGTTAATATCGATTTTTCCGATACCCTAATTGCTATCACTTTCGATTTCCAATGCAAATATTCGATTTATCACTATTACATTCACAGGCAAAACATATTTTTGTAATAAGGCTCAGTTATGTAGATGTATATAAGCGTGCGTGCGACCAATCAAATATTCAAATCTATAAAAGATAAAAGAAACGATGAAAGGGCAGACACTTGCAATAAATAAACGATTAACCATAAGATTTTCCCTTGTTATTCGAGCATTAAGGAAATATTATAAAATCTTCCAACATAGTACTGTGAAATTATAAGAAACACATGAAAACAATACACCGATAGACGACACGACATGTATGCATGTGTTTGATATGAAACGGTCGACCGTAGGTTGAAAAGAAGGGTCGAAGCTTAATATGACACGAGCATTTTTATATTGAATTCGTAATCCCAGCAAACAGTGCGATGTTCGTGCTACGAAAAATAAAGAGCCAAGCACGTCCAAAGCATGCACAAACCTCAATTCCTTTCATAATGACTAATGAGCAGTTACGTACGCGGGCGCTCAATAAGAAGAGAATTTTGGCTTATTGAGAATGCTGGTCGTAGTTTATAATATTAATTATAAGTAAACGAAGAAAGTCAATTTAAGAACGCACCGCAAGTTGTGCCTCACCCGTAGAGTATGTTTCAGGCAAGGAGCAGGGAATGCCGGCTTTTGCGCGCGGCCCCCAGGAGGGCGCCTGCCCCGGCGGTAATGGCAACAGCAACAGCGGCATCGGGGTAGGCGGCGCGGTCTCGGGCCCGACTCAGGATTTGAGCGAGGAGCGCATCGCGCACATGCTCTCGGAGTCCGGGCACATGCAGCTGAGCAGGCAGAGCGAAGCTGACACGTCGAACGACGCGGACAGCAAGAGCCCGAGCCGGCTGAACTGCCCGAGTCCCTTCGGCAAGGACCGCAGCATGGACAGTCAGAGCAGGAGACTGAAGAAGTACGAGAACGATGACATTCCGCAAGAGAAGGTGGCGAGGATCTATCAGGAGGAACTTGCTAAGATAATGGGCCGGAGGGTCGAGGATATGCGCGGCCCGCGGGACTTCCCCACGAGGTGAGACATCCGGAGCGCCCTACCTCCAGCCCCCCCCCCACTAACTTTACCCCGCCACTATTTTTCTCTTCCATTGAGCCTCGTGGCCAATACGGCCGAGACGCGGCCCTCGGCCTCGTCTTTTAAACGGCGTAATATCTTCTCGTGATCGCTGATTTTTTCATTTTTTCGTATCGTTCGCAATAGCATCCTCGCGAGAATAGCGAATAAAACGAATTTTTCAATGTCTTATTTAATTGCAATGTCGACGTTATAGGCGATCGACTCGCCCATTATAACGTGACAACGTTATTACGTATTTAATATTCGTATTTAAACTATTTAGGAGGCTAAAAATCCCCATTATTTCCAAGTTTTTGTCTATCCACTCGACTATGCCTGCGTTCGATTAAAAAATGTAAATCCAATTTTTTCACCTCCATTTTTTTCAGTCTCCATTGTGGCCTAAAACATCGGATATTGTTAACTGTCATTTGCAAAATTCTGCTAAAATTCTGATGAATACACGATGGGAATTCGTTGCATTATACAATATTATGCAGACGGAATTGTATTAAAGACTTTTGCAGGGTAAATTATATTAAATGTCACAATGTATTTATTCGCCCAAGTATCGGGAATTAACTATTTGACGATTTGCATGAGTGCGATAATTTTTATCTTTTACAATTGCCGCATCTCCTATTCTCCAGCATATAGGATATCTTATCGTTCGGACATAATAATGATTAAAACACGTGCATAATTATCGGCTAAAATCGCTTAAGCCTTCCGATGTAAAGGACCGTTCCATTATTAAATCCATTACTAAATGCACTTTTCCGCGTGTAATCGTGTCGTGCACTCGCTGGACTTTCGAGCGAAAGATCCCTAACGAGAATGAATTTGCTGATATTAATGAACGTCCGTTAAAATTTGTGTTCCCATGTAGGTGGCGAATTGCGCATAATGAGCTCCCAACTTAACAACGTAAATGAGAAAAAATTGAAGCTTCATTTGTTTCGCATAATTTCGAGGAACAATTTTTCAGCCCCAAAATTGCTCAGCAGCAAACTTTGTGCATTGAGTTCGAGCGATCCCTCGAAAGATACATTGAATAAGTTTTGCAATTGCCGTGCAATTTTGCCCTTTTCGCCATTTACATCGCCAGAGAATACTACGTAGAATAAACATTGCTCGTAAATCAATCGCACCATAATTACTTGGTTATAAAGCCTCGCGAGCCACCGCTTCTTACGTCATACAGCTTATAGCGTGCGAGTGGGCGGTGGTCACCGATGTTTACTATTAGCGATAAACAATCGATTCGAATGAGGACAGCATGTGATCCCGATTGATCGTAGCGCGATGTTTCCGCATTTTTTCAGCGGCCAGAATCTCCAGGGTATGGAGCGCACGCAGGAGGAGATCCGCATGGCCCTCGACGCCTACCATCGCGAGCTTCAGAAGCTGAATGTGGCCCAGGGTCTGCCCTACCCGCCTCAGATATCGGGCCTCCTGGCGCTTCAGCAGCATGCGATCCAGCAGCACCAGTTGGCGACGAACGGTGGGGCTGGGCCCGGGGCAGGTTCGGCCGCGGCAGCCGCCGCAGCCGCCGCAGCCGCAGCCGCCGCCGCGGCAGCTCAAGACCTGAGCCTCGGCAACATCCTCCGCAGTAAGATGATCAATGGCGTGTCCGAGGAGGAAAAGGAGAAGATGGAGGAGGCGATGAGGCACGCGGGCAGCGCCTTCTCCTTGGTAAAGCCGAAGCAGGAGCCGAGCGGCGCCCAGTCGACCCCCGGGGGTTCGAGCGCCAGCTCACCTCTTGGCAACTCGATCCTGCCCCCAGCGATGACGCCGAGCGAGGAGTTCGCCGGCACGGCCGCAGCCAGTCCACTGCAGAGGATGGCATCGATCACCAACAGCCTCATCAGTCAACCGTCCACGCCGACCCACCACTCGGCCAACCAGAGACCGCTCAAGGCCGTACTCCCACCGATTACCCAGCAGCAGTTCGACATTTACAATAACCTCAACACCGAGGATATTGTCAAGAGGGTGAGGGCATTTGTACGAACAATTTTATGATGCTCATTCGGAGGCTGCGCAGACAAACAACTCGGCTCCTTTTTGGATTTTTCACTTTGGGCATGAAATTATTTTTTACCTTACTAACAAAGCCACGACAACGTTTTGGAGGCCAAGGACCAAAGATCATTCGCGTTGTTTATCTCTTCAGCTTTTCAAATTTTAAGAATAGCATGTTTAAGTTCACATGTGAATTAAGTAATCTACTCCACGGGTAACTGAACGATAATCTCTTCGTTATTTGAACGCTGCTCTCTTTCTCTCTCTCTCTCTCTCTCTCTCTCTCTCTCTCTCTCTCTCTCTCTATGTCTCTCTCTATGTCTCGATTCGACATCGATGATACTTATTTAAATGAGATTTAAAAATAAATAATACTACTCGCGAGTCTCGATATTCAAGTGACCTTAGCCCCGCTGTAATCACTCGGATTACCCAATCACTGTGAATTTACCATTCGCTATTAACTACCCTCAGCCAATCGTTCCCTTTGTTAATCTGAAAATCTTTGCATGTTCTCGTAGGTAAAGGAGCAGCTTTCTCAGTACTCGATCTCCCAGCGCCTGTTTGGCGAATCCGTCCTGGGGCTGTCACAGGGATCCGTATCGGATCTCCTCGCACGACCTAAGCCCTGGCACATGCTTACCCAAAAGGGCCGCGAACCCTTTATTCGCATGAAGATGTTCCTCGAGGACGATAATGCCGTACACAAGCTCGTGGCTAGCCAATACAAGATCGCACCGGAGAAGCTCATGAGGACCGGCGGCTACGGCGGCCTGCCTCGTAAGTTTAACTCAGGTCAATATAGATGTTTTGTTATTTTATTTAAATAAATATATATATATATGTATATATGTATTCATATACATGAGCGTGCGTACGTGTGTGTGTAAATATATATAAATATATATACCTATATATTTGTACGTAGCTCGGCAGCTCTGTCGGATCACGGCATTTTGTGCCTCGTAAAATGCTATTATTAAACCGCGACAAAAGAAAAGTTAAGGTCCAGAGAACGGAGAAGAATGATCATGGACCTAGATCATTTTCTTTCGTGTGTCCGATGTTGCTCGATTTACATGTTCGCTCATATTATTACTTTATTATTTGCTCGACATACTTTGTTCTCCAATTTATCGGTTAACCGAATTTACTGCAGTGGCGATTGAAGCTAAGCTCGATTAATCGAGCCTATACAACGCCACCTGCACAACCAATTTTCTCAAATATTAATCTCAATTAACGACTATCCAAGAGCGCTTCATGCGGTGATGTAAAATCAATTAAATATATTCGGGCACTGATAATTCGGCACTTGATAAAAGAGCTTCCGAACTACGTCCAAGCGCTTACGAAAGAAACTGTTTAATAATTTGCAAATGGAAATCCTGCGTTACAGCGTGTGGAACGCCGATGAAACCTATGCCCCCGACCAAGTTGGTTCAGGAACAACTGCAAAATGCAGCGAAAGCTCAGGCTGCACAGGCCGCAGCCCAGGCCGCGGCCGCTGCTCAGCATCAGCAGGAGAGCCAAATGCAGCTTGGACCACCTCAGCAGAGTCCTCAGCATGCGGTCCATCCGCAACAGTCGCCGATGATGTTGACGCCACCGGGTGCCATCCTTCCTCACGCGCAGCTCAGCATACAGGAGCTACAAAAAAAACAGCATCACCAGCAGCACCAGCAGCAGCAGCAACAGCAACAGCAGCAGCAACAGCACCAACAACAACAGCAACAGCAACAGCAACAGCAACAGCAGCAGCAATCCCAGCAACCGCAGCAGCAGCAGCAGCAACAGCAACAGCAACAACAGCAGCAGCATCAAACGCCCCAGATAAACCTGCACTCGCCTCATCATCAGATGGCGCCCTCGCCTCTGCGTGCCCTGCACCCACACATCTCGCCGAGCGTATACGAAATGGCCGCGCTTACCCAAGATCTCGACACGCAAACCATCACGACGAAAATCAAGGAGGCGCTCCTCGCTAACAACATCGGCCAGAAGATCTTCGGCGAGGCGGTTCTTGGACTATCCCAGGGCTCGGTGAGCGAGCTGCTCAGCAAGCCCAAGCCCTGGCATATGCTCAGCATCAAGGGCCGCGAGCCCTTCATTCGTATGCAGCTGTGGCTGTCGGACGCCCACAACGTCGACAGACTGCAGGCGCTGAAGAACGAGCGGCGCGAGGCTAACAAGAAGAGGCGCAGCAGCGGCCCCGGCCACGACAACAGCTCCGACACCTCGAGCAACGACACCGCCGAGTTCTACCACGCGGCCTCGCCCGGCCCCGGACCGACCTCCGCCAAAAAGCAGCGCGTCCTCTTTACCGAAGAGCAGAAGGAGGCGCTGCGGCTTGCGTTCGCCCTCGACCCTTACCCCAACGTCGCGACGATCGAGTTCCTCGCGAGCGAGCTCGGCCTCTCCTCCCGGACGATAACAAACTGGTTCCACAACCACCGCATGAGACTGAAGCAACAACCGCCCCACGGCCAACCGGAGCCCCAGTCGCCGCGGGAGCCCGGCCAGCCTTTCGATCCCGTACAGTTTCGACTGCTCCTCAACCAAAGACTGCTGGACATCCAGAAAGAGAGACTGGGCCTGGGCAGCGTCCCTCTCACCTATCCGCCCTACTTCAATCCGAACCTCGCAGCCCTCGTCGGCAGCGCCTTCAAGGAGCAGTGTTCCGGCCTCGACCTCTCAATGGGCTCGCTCAAACGCGAGCCCAATCAGGAGTTTGAGGACGAGGACGCCGAGGACGCGATGAGCAATCTCGGTAGCGAGGACTCGGAGGGCTCCACGAGCAGCATGAAGCGCGAGCCGACGGAGATGCCCGTGCCGGCCAATACCTCAAGGTCGAATAGGCGGAAGCCCGCCGCGCCCCAGTGGGTGAACCCGGAGTGGCAAGAGCCCGCGAGAACGGGAGACGAAGTCATTATCAACGGTGTGTGCGTGATGCAGACCGACGACTACGGGGTGAAGCGAGAGGCCGAGGAGACGGTGAGGGTCGAGCCGACTCCGGTACAGGACCGCTACGAAGAGGACGCCCAGAGCGACGTGTCTTCGGTCTCGGCGGCCAATGCCCCCGATCGGGACAGTCCGTCGCTCAGCCTCAAGTCCGCGCGGGATAGTCCGGCCACGTCGCCGAGGCCACCCTCGGCCAGCCAGCACGCGCCTCAAGCCCTCGATGACAGCCCCAAGGAGGTCGTTAAACACGAGCCCGAGGAGACGTGGGACTATTAAAGAGACGAACAATCGAGAGATTGAATAGGGAAAACAAGGCGTACGAGCCACAGAATGAGTCCGAGAGAGAGGAGAGAAAGAGATTGAGAGAGTGAGAGGGGAGAGTGGTGTGTGAGAGAGACAGAGGATGAGGAAGAGACAGAGAGAGAGAGAGAGAGAGAGAGAGAGAGAGAGAGAGTGTGTGTGAACGAGGGGGGTGTGAAAGACGGTGGGGAGGGGAGAGGGAGTTAGTGAGCGAGTGATTGAGGTGAGTGAGGTGGGGTGAACGAGGTGGCCGAATGAGGGAATGGGCGAATTAAGTGAGCGAGCGAACGAGTGAGCCCTAGCTAAGCGCCGCTGTTTATAAGGCTCGAACTTCTTTTCCAAGTGTATTTATTCCAAAGCTGTGAGCTGGCCAAGGCGAGCCAAACGAGTTCGGTCGTTGCAAGACTGAGTTTTGCTCATATTCGGATATGAGAATGAGAATTATCTTAGTTTTATTTTATTTTTATTTTTGTTTTTAAGTCTTTTTTTGAGAGATTTTTTGTTTTTTTTTTTTTTTTTTTTTTTTTTTTTGATATTTTTTTTTGTTTATTTTTGTTTCTTTTTTTTGTAATATCAAAGCCAGCAATAGGATTCGGTGGGAGCTGAGTCCTGCCTATGGTTAGGGCATTAACATATAAAGAGAATACGAGTGGAAACAATAATGATTAAAATAATGATGATGATTAGGATGAAAATTATGATTATTATTATGATGATAATTATTATAATGATGATGATGATGATGATGATGGTGATGATGATGACGATGATGATGACGACGACGACGATGATGATGATGACGACGACGATGATGATGACGATGATTATGATGAGTATGATGATTATGATTATGATGATAATGATGATGTTGATTTTGATCATGATGATGATGATAATGATGATGGTGGTGATGATGATGATGATAATGATGATGATGTTGAAGAAAAATCGAGAAACTAAGCAAAATAAAAAGTATGGCGAGCTGCGATACTTCGGGATCTCCGATATCGCGACAAGGAGGGTTAAACTCTCATTGATTTTTTTTTATTAGCGAGCAACGAATGTATGCGAGAACAAAGGGAGTTAAATGATAAAAATATAGACGCGTTAATGAATTAAAAGAAATCGTAATTTAGTTGTAAGAGATCGAAATTAGAGAGAATCCTTTCCTGCTTGGCCCTCCAACGGACTGCTTCAATTAAAAGGAGAGCGAAAGGTGTGGAGTGGATTCTCTTGGCAAACAGTGCAATCTCCACGTAACCAATTGTTAGATTGATTTTTAATTGAATGCTAGAAAAAAATGGAAAGAAAAACAAGTAAACTCGTATCGTAAGCGAGTGCGAGAAATTGCATAATTGTGATTCATGTTATCGTTTATATCGGTCCCAATTCCCCATGCGAAACCTCCTTTTTAACCATTAAGCTGTTGACGTTATTGCATATATTTCACTCTCGAGTTGCGTAAATATAAAAATATATATAAACAATCGTCGATTTTTACGTTGTTAAAAAATAATAAAAAAAAAAATATGAGCGTGTCCAATCTTCTTTCCACTTCCCCTTTTGCTTGCCCGCTATTTATGTTGCGAGAGAGAAAGAGACGAGATCGATCACGTCGATCACTGAGACACCGTTACCAATGTTAATTATTACTATTTTTATTATTATTATTATTATTATTATTCAATCTTCTTTCCACTTCCCCTTTTGCTTGCCCGCTATTTATGTTGCGAGAGAGAAAGAGACGAGATCGATCACGTCGATCACTGAGACACCGTTACCAATGTTAATTATTACTATTTTTATTATTATTATTATTATTATTATTATTACCACTACTACTACTACTACTACTGCTACTACTACTACGACTACTACAACTACTACCACTACTACCAATACTGCTACTGCTACACTACTATTACTACTTCTCCTACGACTATCACTACACGGCTACGGTCACAACTATTATTACTCCTCCTACAGCTATCACCACACTACTCCTGCACAACTATTACTACTGCTACTACTACTATTAATATTATTATTATTATTTTATTATTATATTGTAAGATTATTATTACGTTTTCATCATTATCATTACTATTACTATTTTATCGCTGATGAAAAATTGTACAGTAATTATGAATATTTTATTCATTATTTTAGTTGCGATGAGCAAAAGGGCCTAGCCAAAATAAAAGAAGTTAAAGACTCGCAGATATCTTTTCTTTTTCTTTTTTTTTTTGTATTTTTGAAACAAACAAAAAAAAATAATAAGCGAACGCAAGTGTAGTCAATACGACGAAAATGCATAGAAAATGCATATGCAAGCAATCGAAATATTGTATAAAATAAAAGTGAACCGTAGAAATTTGTATTGAAAATTCTGAATTTTCATTATTATTATTATTATTATTATTATTATTATTATTATTATTATTATTATTATTATTATTATTGTCATTTGACTAAATTATAATTATATTACGCATTATAAATTATTATTAATTATCATTGATTATCTTAAGGTCAATAAGAGAAAAAATTAACGAAGCGGCTTGTGAAGCCAATGTGATAGAGCTTACGCCCAACGATATGCGTAAGGGATAGCGGCAGTGGTTCTCGACTTCGTCTACATTGTAGTCTTACAAAATGAACCGACCCTTCAGTGATGAAATACAAAATCACAGAAAATTATGGAAATGCAAAAGATGTTTTTCTATTAAGACGTCTATATTGTAAATAACTTTGTACATAAAGCTGATATTGAGAATACAGAACAAATACACAGCAAATTTGTATAAAATAAATATTACTCTCTTATCGCAGCTAACTTCGTAATATCGTATATGTGCGCACGATCAATAAAAATAACAAAAATAAAAAAATAAAAATATATAATGATATGTGAAAATAAAGATGATAATGAAAATTATTCGACTGGAAAAATCGCGGCTATGTCTGATCGAATAATAACCATGCGGTGGATCACATGTGTCGTGTGTGAAAATTCAAAAAATGTGACTGATCGAAGTAAAGTAATATCCTTTATCTTCGATAATAAAAATCAAATTAGCATCTACAAGATTAAGCTACGTTTAATCATCGATTAAATTCTAGTCCACAGTCTAAAAAGAAATAGAACGAAGGAATAAGCAAAAGATGATTTTTGTAATGTACTAATGGAGTGGCTGATAATATCAATACGAAGGGCATTAAATGTTTTGAAATCACTGGTGATTATTTTAATAATTTTATAATAGGCCTCTGAGAATTTATTAATATTTCCAAAACAAAAATTGTATTAGAGATTTTCATTACTTACGCGTTAAATAAAGTATTAATTTACTAAATTTTCTAAAATGATTTTCCATATATATATATATATATATATATATATATATATATATATATATATATATATATATATATACATATACACGTAAATTACTTTAAATATTTAATTTGGATGAAGATTGTAAGTACAATGGGAATGTGATTTAATAAATACTGTTCGTTTATTATATCTATACGCAAAGCTTCAAAATTTCATTATTAACGCTGGTTAAATTAATCAATTATTCTAATTAACTCTTATAATATGTAAAATAACAAATATTATTTGAAATTGAATGAAACCATCACAATTGAATATATAAAGAATAATCATCAGGAACCTATTTTAATGAGTTAGTGCATGGAAACAGCTACGGTTTTCTGAGTTATGAATATTGTATAGCATTGACAAAGTATAAGTAAATCTATGAATTTGCCTTTACGTTTGAACAATAATAGCACCTGAAAAAATAAAGATCTTGATTGATTTTCTTTTATAAATTCAGATAAACGTAGCTTACCTCAAAAATTGATCTCTTTTGTAATAAATAATGATTTTTTTTACCCGCTTTATTGAGACGAAACTTCAAATGTCATAATTTCCTTCTTTTTTCATTTTTGCCAATAGTTAATAATTGAACCATCGATCAAAACTTTGCCGACGGTACGAGCAGCATTCAAAATTTGAAATTGTATTGAAAAAATAAGTGTTAATAAGAATGTAATATTTAAATTCAATGAAAAAATTAAGTAAATTAAAATAATTAAGAACCTCAGCAGTTCGTACTATTGACAATCTTCAAAAGAAGTGAGTTTTCTTGCTTCGGAAGTGTATTAGATCATCGGCGGACAATGGCTTATAATTTCTCATTCGTCGAATCAGTAAAACTAGGTTCATTGTAGATACTGGAATAGAACATAAATAGCTAATAGCTTTAATTATTTAAAATGGGTTATAAAAAAAATTAAAAAAAGAATAAAAAAAAAAAGAGGAAGTGAGAAAGGGCAAGGAAAATGGTGTGCGGTAAATGGAATGTGTAATATAAATAAAAATAAATGATTACAAGCGAGTTGATGTCGTAAAAATTGCAACGTGCGAAAGTTGAAGTTCATATTATAAAAAAATGAAACGTCGCGTGTGCAAAGTTGGTGAGCGATGATGAGTGTGACGGAAGAAAAATCATATCGTAAACATAATATTAAATATTTTACAATAAAAAGTGTAGATAGAATATTCGAAAAAACAGTTATTAAAATGACTTGTTTTCTGAACTTTTACTCTATATTCTTCCGCTCGTTGGTACTGTAACAACGATAAGAAGCTGATGGAGAAGAAAGTTAAATAAGACGTTGATAATCGAGGAAAGCTAAGAGCGAAGAGAACAAGAGACGCAAACGCACTGTCGTCTTTTTCAGTAGTGAAAATAATGTATCAAAGAGAAATCGAGAGCGATTTACCTGCAGTAATAAATAGTTTAATGATTTTTATTTCATATCGAACTGTATTATATAGCTTAAAAGTTATCCTGTACATTGCATAAACACTATTGCACTATTGTTTTAAAATTGTACGTTTATGATTATTATACGAAGATTAAAAGAAAAATAAATAAGGTATACAAAATATTAAAATACGTGAGAGATTTATTGTCTTTAGCTTATAATGCTCTTTAGAAATTCAAAAACATAAAAGAACAGAATTCAGCCAAAATACATCCATATCCTCTTCTAAAAAGAACAGAAACTGAA